GGGGGGGTCCTTATTATAGTTTTAGTATAATGGGCCCCAAAAGCCTATTGAAAATTATGAAGGTCCCTACATTGGGCTTTTAGGGTTTGGGATTCAAGGTTATGGGGTTTAGGGTTTAAGGTTCAGGGCTTTAAGAGCTTATGGCTTAGGCGAAAAAAGAAGCAACACTAATTGCATCAGCAGCAGAAGTGAAAGCCTCTTCTGCCGTCCTTCTTCTTGAGGTTTTTGTGGTAAGCAGAAAAGTACACACACACACACACACACCCGACGGGGATACGTAATACCCTGAATAGCTCATGTTTGGTTCACCCTAAACCCTAAACCCTAAACCCTAAACCCTAAACCCTAAACCCTAAACGCTAACCCAGCATGTCATTCAGCTTGTCAGGTTCAGAACCCCTACCCCTTACATCGGTTTAGGGTTTAGGGTTTAGGTTTAGGGTTTAGGGTTCAGGGTTGAAACACATCAAGGTCCTATCTTAAACCCATGCCTGAAACATCCTAAACCCTAAGCCCTGAACCTTGAACCTGCAGCAACGCTAGCCAAAATTGCACCAGGTATGGGTTGAAGGTTCAGGGTTTAGGGTTTAGGGTTTGGGGTTTAGGGTTTAGGGTTTAGGGTTCAGGGTTTAGGGTTCAGGGTTTAGGACTCAAACATTTTTATTCAAGCTGGTTTTCGTTTCCTGCATAGTGTGTGCACCCCAAAGGCACCGGGCTAGTTATTAAGGCCCCTCAAATTAAGTCCAAAACCCTTACTGCTAGGCTAAAGCTTAAGCCCGTCTGGGATCAGCGGAACTTTGGAGCGAGCGCTACTGTACAACCCTAATGCAGAGCATGGGTTTGGAGAGTATTCAAACTTTAGGGTTTAGGGTTTAGGGTGCTCATTTAGAGTTTAGTGTAATGGCAATTATCGGGATTGGTCGAGGTGCCACCTGAAAAAATTGGGGGGGGGGGGGTCGTTGTCGTCTGTGTCTGTCCGAACCTGCTGCGCTGCTTCCATCAGACAGAGCTCCAGAGTTCGAACGTCTCATGAGAATGCATGTTCTGTTGGCATGTAGGTTTCGTGTTTAGGTTGGCATTACTTGGCTTTGGACATATGAAGCTTCTGCTATAACTGCGATTCGAGTTCAATTGCCACAAGAAGTGCCACGGATTCTCTGTGCGTAGCCACCTAGATGGTCTTGGGTGCTGCTAGGCGCCTTCGGCATTTCGCAGAGGCCTCCATGGAAACGGTAGCACACCAGTGTCGCAGCTGCGGGGAGCAGTTCCCATCCAAGAACAGCCTTCATCGCCACCTGCGCGAAGCGCACGGGGCTCCCCAAAACGGCCCCCAGCCGGTTCCCGCGACCACTCCGAGGGAGCCTCTACCACCCATCGCCCTGGGTGATCCCATTCGGATGCCCAGAGAAAGGGCCATCCCGGACTCCTTGCTCCAGGCCTTCAACGGCTGGGCTCGGGCAACTCCTCCGGTCTTCCGGGTGCCCAGCAGAATCCTCCGAAAAGCTGTGCCCCAAAACGACCTCGAAGATGCTTGGGAGAAGGGAAGGCTCTGGGCTATCTCCGTGGGAACGCGCGGGACCTTCCTGCGGCAAGTTCATGGCGATCAGTCTGGTTGGCTCGAGAAGGCCATGGAGAGTCCGGAGGAGCGCGACATCCTGCTATCACCCCTGCAGCCCGAGGTGCACGCCGATCTCCTCGTTGCGATTCTGAGAAGCCTGAACGTGGCGACTTGCCATGACATCCATCGCTTTGCTCGCGGCACTTGGAATAGCCAAGCCAGTGCACGAATGTGGCAGACATGTGCGGAACAAGCCAAGCCCAGGGGGGTCCGGATCAGGTACCAAGGATGCAAGCAGGGCTACCTCAGCCCCACTCTATGGCTTTCGGGTGAGCCGCGAGTCAAAAAGGACATCTTTTGCCACGAGGAGTTTGCCTTTTCCTTCCTGGGGAGAGTGGATGGCGAGATTTTTCAGTGTTTGGGAAGCATTGCAGAATCCATGTACCACTTCGCCGGGAGTTGTCCGGTCAGCATTTCAACTTGTTACGACATGGTGATGGCTGCCATTGAATCGGGAAACATCAAATGCCTGAGCAGCGGTGCTGCTGAAGCGGTGGACATCACAAGCATGAGCATCCAAGGCAACTTCGGCTGTGGTGTTCATCACATTTGGATTATTTCGCCTTGTGCTGCAACTACTTCTCCTACTCTGCACTTCTACGTACTCCTCCCACTGTATTTATTGCTACACCTGCTCCTATCCTCCTCTTGCTCCTCCCACTACTGCTGCAAGTATCGAACGACCTGCACCTACCCCTACCTCCTACCACTAACGGTAGCGCTCCACTATCACCCGTGACCACGACTGCAACTTGCACTGCCGCCGAGACTACCACCATATCCACTACGACTAGCATTACCAGTACCACTACGACCAAGACGACGAGTGCCGTTTTTGACAATGACAGCTGTTATGGCTAGAACTCTTTGAACCTGTTTATGTCATGTCGTAGCCTTTCCTAAACCCTGAACCCTAAACCCTAAACCCTATACCCTAAACCTAAACCCTACACCCTAAACCCTGAACCTTTAGGATTTGAGGGTATCACCAGGTGCCCGGGACAGCCGCTTGGTGGTGCGCGTCCGCGGAGCGGCGGAGTGTCCGGCCATCTGCGTCTCAGCGACGGAGCGACCCTCGGCTGGAGTTTCACGGTTTAGGGTTTAGGG